TTTCTGCTTTCTGAGATGATTCCTGTGACCTGATCCTTCACTGTGCTCTCGCTGTTTTCACATCAGGGATGTGTAACCCAAAGAACTACAGCGACACTCCAGCCACGTCCAAGAGCACCGTGGAGGAGCTGCAAAATCCCATCCCCTCGCTGTTCCGCGCCCTCACGGAAGGCGACGTGCAGATCAACATGATGGTCGTGTCCTTCCCCGTCTCAGAGGAGCTGTCGCATCACGAGAACCTGGTTTCATTCCTGGAGATGCTCAACAGCCAGCACGAGAACGTGACCGTGCCTGGCAACAGCATCCACGGCAGCCTCGACAGTCAAGGTAACGCCGCTGTGTTAGCGTGGAAAAGTACCTGTTCACACTTTACTACATTGAGGTGTGATCATCAAGTTTGAAGGAAGCGTATTTCTGTCACTGAGGCCAAAAAATTAATTAATTAATTGGGGAGAAACTATTGCAATCCAATCAAAATTTGGGCTTATTATTACGTCAAAATTTTGAGTTGGAAATCTTTATTATTTTCTCACAATTTTGGTAAGTTGGTAAGTTGAAATTTTGACAACCTGCATGTCCTTTCCTTTTTCTTCCCCCCCCAGTAAAAGTTTGCTTGAAAGCAAACTTATACTGGCTTTTCACAGATGATTGATAAGTTGCTAATGTAATAAAAGAATAAAAATAACTAACTTAAAGCACATAAAGAGAAGTACATTTAGAACATAAACAGGGCAAAAAAGGAATAAAGTTATGTCAGTTACTGTAGATTAAAAAGACAAAACATGAAAGTATATTTTTATCTAATAATCAGTCCTAGTGAGTGAATAACATAAAGCAGCAGATTTAAACAGTCAAAAAAATGAATTAGAATAAAACAGCAGTGTAGCAACAACGAGATAAAGAAATGTGTTATTTTCTCACAATTTTCTCACAACCCATCTCTGAAATTATGTTTTAGAGATGGGTTTTAAAATTTTAATGCTTCCAGCTGCTCTTTAGTTCTTTGTAACTGGCTCGTTCTTTTAATGTGAAGTTTAAATGCTGTGTGCACACCGATGTATCAGCAATCGGCGTGTTTTTGGTTTTTTTGTTTGCTTGTTTCTGTGGCCGGCGGATATCCAGGCCAAGACTTCCTCTTCTGTCTGCAAATTGTTGTTTACAAAAGCAGATAACTTTAAAAAATGACTTTTTGACAGATGCAATCTGTCCGTCTCCCTGCACACAGATGACTTACCTGCACGCAAGCAAAGCCCGCTCAAATATGATTGGTCAGTAAAACCAGTTCATTCAGTAAAACTTGGACTAGGAAATTGAAGCGTGTCCAGTAATAAAACTTTTTGTCATGCCTACAGATGTTCGTATATTAATATACAGCTTTCTGATCATAGAGATTCATGCTCACGTAAGAAAATCGATGCTCTAATAAAGATTCATAATCAATACAATTGTTGGTTTTAATAAAGTAAAAGATTTGTGTTTTTTTTTGTGTTTTTGGTCTTTTTGGGGGGTTTTTTTTTCACATGTGGTCACAGTGGTGCCAAAACAATAAGCTGAATCCCTGATCAATAATAAAATCAAAAATAAAGCAAGCTTGTGCAAGAACATTAATTATGAGGTAAAACAAAAGACGTGCACATTTAAAGTTCAGTAAATAATTCCTCTGCTTTACATCTGTAATATTTTTCTTTATGGTGTGATGGACCACCAGGTGGCTCCAGGGGAAGTGAGATGGTGATGTCAGTTGTGTGAAGCTGTGATTGAAGTCGGAGTAAAATATTGGGATCTCTCATGTTGTCTTGACATACCTCCACAATGGCATCTTTGATATTCTAATAAGGGGTTATGTGGTGAGAAGCTACGCTGAGTCATCATGGGTATGAATGTCATGGTAATTTGGGGCTTTTGAAGATTTCTTTAAACTGTTCTTTTTCCAGGGTCGAATGATTGTGCAGCATAAATCTTGACTTTAAAAAGCCAGAATTGGGTGCACAAGTTTGAATTTACTTTTGGATTTTCAGGGTCAAAAGTATTCCTACACTCAAATATTTGAATAAGCGGTGATGAATATTCTATAATGGCTTTGGACTTGACATGGCAAAGGTCTGTTAACTTCTTGTTATTAATCATAGTTGACTGCTACTACTACGCTTTGCCAGCAGAAAAAGGTTTTCACAGCACTCATCGGACTGACCGATACCTGGATCTGCACAGAGTTCCTTGTACTTTCAATCCTCGTTAAAGTCGTTAAAGATGTATGCTGTACAATCATTCTCCCCTGGAAAGAAAAGGGTTCAAAGGAATGATTAAAAGCCTAAAATTACCACGACATTCATGCCTGAGATGAGTGTATGTAAACCTCTGACCACAAATGTACATGAGCAAAACCACCGTATTCCACAGAAATTGTAACTAATGATGAGAAGCCACATGGTCCACTAAAAGCAGTCAGTCTTTTCCTAAATGTGCCGTCTCATATTGCTTTACGTTTTTGAATGGCTCGCACAAAACACAAGCCTTACTGCCATTTAATTTTTCCTTTGTTCCCATCGTCTCCTTGTTTTGTTCACATTTAGGCTCACTCACTGAGGGTAATAAAATGTGACCTGACAGGTCAAAGTCTTGAACTGTGACCAGATTTGGCTGGATCAGACTTTTGCATCATTACAGCAGGACTGTGCTGCCAGAAGATCTCCAGCTAAGGGAATTGGAAGTGTTACGTTGCCATTTTTATTTGAATTTGAGGCCATTTTGGCTCTCAACCTCTATTGCTTTATTTGCTATAAAGCAATAATGAAAGCAATCCCTCAGAGCTGAGCTGTTAACTCATTAAGCTCACCAGAACACACAATCATACTTGACGCAGCAATTTGACCTCAGCTTTTAAGGAAAAGCAGGAAAATTGAGGGTTAAATGTTTAGTTTTTTCTCTTTACTGGATCTGTGACTCACACCATCATCTTCGCGTGTTGTTCTTTAATTTCAGAGAGCATGTGCACTGTGGTCTACTTTGACGACTGCGTGTCCATTCGTCAGTGTAAACTATACTGTGAGTCAATGGGAGGATCCAAGTACCGCTGGTTTCACAACGCCTGCTGCCAGTGCATCGGACCGGAGTGCCTGGATTACGGCAGCAAGCTTGTGAAGTGCATGAACTGTCTCTTCTGAAGTGCGGGCACATATTGGTACCAAATGCTTGCCCCATACCGCAGGACTGGGGACAGAGGAAACTATGACTGTTATGTGCTAGCATTCCTCAGTTACCTTGTAAAATGCCCCCTGCAGCCCTCCTCCTACCCCTGCAAACTTTTATTCTGCTGTTTTTGTTTCACTGTATATTTTTAGATGTTTTTTTATAGCATTTTCTTTTCTTTTCTTTTTTTTTTTTTACTAGAGTTGTATATGAATAATGTATTTTTACAATTATGGTCCGCTAAATCCCAGTCTCATGCCAAATAAAGATACGTTTTGGTGACTGTTTCCGTCTCTAAGAAAGTCTTTCATCATATATTCTGGGGAGGGGAAAAATGTGTGAAAAGCTTATGGCATGAGTGAAATGGTAAATATTTGTCTTCCTAGTTGCCTGTCTCCAGCTCTTCTGTTGCCCAAGTCAGGAAATGCATCATTTCCTGGGGAAACAAAGTTGTTATTATACCATTCTGGTCCACAGGTGTTCCACTGCTCACCGACCGTCTCATGCAAGCAATGGTGTGGGGAGGGTGGGTGGAGAAGGGAACATTTACCGATGCCAATCTCTCACCGCCACACACAAATGCTCTTTGTAATGCCAGTACATTTTCAAAAGGCAGCAGGGTGCCCTATCACTGATTGTGTTCCCAATTGGCATGCAACAGCAGTTTGCACAGACTCCTCCACCGGCTGACACAATGAAACCTTGTTTGTCTTTTTTTTTTATATTGAATCACGACCTCATTTCACCACTGCAGCTGTGCGGTTTGGAGCCGACGGTGCCAACAAAGATCATCAGAGGGATAATGTATTTCATATGTGAGGATGACCACCAGTCTTCTGGCTCCGACCGCAGCGCTCGGGAAAGTACACATGATTGAGAATAGCATGTGGTTTCACCAAATTTAGATTCTAGCTGCTTTTTAAAAACACAGTTTGACAGTTTCTCTTGTACACTGGCTTGAATAGCAGTGAACTTGTGGCTAAGATCAAAACGATACCACAGCCTAAACATACGCCATTAGTTCCAGATTGTTTTCAGCCAGGAAACCTATAAAGAAAATACATTTGTGGTAGGATCTCCAAATAAATGAAGCACCCACTTCTACCAACTACTAGGTGTATTTTTACCACCTACTTTGCCAGAGTGTTGCTAACAGACTATATATAAAAAATGAAGTAGTTTCTGGATGTTGGCAGACATGCCTTAAAATTGCATTAATCCTTATATTGAAGTCTATGAAAATGGTGTGACTTCTGACTTGATACAAGAAATGAGGCTTTTATGGTGAGTTTATGGTCTCCATGACTGGTTTGCAGTCTTAATGAATATAAATTAATGTTTCTTTTATAAATTATTACTTTAATCTGTAATTCAGGGGATTGAAAAACGGTTTTGCAATAAACATTTAGGATTTTTTGCACGCACTCTAATCCTTTTCCGACACTCAACAGTAATTAATTAGCAGTTTCATGGCCATATTATGCCTGCTCCCTTGTTGAAAAAATGCAAACAGATGTGTCATTGTCCAAACACCTATGGACATAACTGTAGCACAGCAGTGTGTGAACAGCTGGGACAGGTTCTGTGCTGCATTCAAGAAAAGCAAAGGCAGATGGAAGATTAAGGAAAAAGAAGAGATGCTTCAAAATAACCTGTGACCGAGACGAAGGCTGTGACTGCTGTTTGGAAGTTAGAGTAACAACAAACTTGCTGAGTAAAATATGTGTTAGTCAAGGCATATATGTATATATGTATGTGTGTATGTACTTGTGGTTATCTTTTTTTTTTTTGTGCAATGATGTAAGTTTCAGTTCTACCTAATGACAGAAGAATGAGCCATTGTAAGCTTATAGAGGCAAACATATGCTAATAATGTGAGTATGTCAGGGCAATACAGGGCATGTATGTGGAGCCAGGCAATAATGAGGTCTGCAACAAGCATTTCAGATACATCAGGAATCAGCTCGGTGGCCATTTGTATTTGCAGGGGTGATTGTCAGGCAGAAGTCTCTGTGGACTATTTTTGTAGATGGCATTGTGATCTGTAGTGAGAGTAGGGAGCAGGTGGGAGAGAGCCTGGAGAGGTGGAGGTATGCTCTTGAGAGAAGAATAATGTGTGTGAATGAGAGGGAGACAGGTATAACAGTGAAGGTAGATGGGTTTAAGCAGCAAAAGTTTACAAGATTCTAGCGGATCTCATATGGTGTATGGTTTGGAGACAGTGGATTTGATAAAAAGATTTTCACTGACAGTGACCAGGATGGACAAGATTAGAAATCAGTATATCAGAGAGACGGCTCAGGTTGAGCAGTTTGAAGACAAAGGTTTGGTGTGATAGAGGCGGATGCTATGGATGGGGTAACATGAAGGGAACACATGAAACAAGAAGAAGAGGACTATGATATTTCTCAGTTATATTTCTCCTGTTTTCCCCTCACAGATGTTTCACTATTTCTTTCACTTGAGTTAAACACGTTTCTGTTTGCTTTTAACTCCATTTCCCGACACGCACTTGTGCTTGAGCGCAAGCGCAGATGGGTTTATTTGGTATACAGGCAGCCGGAAGCTATACTGTGAAATAAACGGAACGGGATAGTACTTGGTAAAGTTTCTCGCCTTTTGTGTTTTGCCTTATTAAACATAATGCAGCGGTTAGCAAATATAGTTTACCATCTGTAGCTAACTGTGTATCAGATGTTGGTTTTTGTTTGGACGGATCTTCGGTTTTTATCGCTACTGATAGGCTGGCTAACCAGCTAGCTTAGCAGGATGGCAGCTAGCTGAACTGTCGTTAGCATATGGGGCCCTACGTTCACAGGAGGGCAGCTCCCTGTGACAGTTTGATTGTAAATTCATTTTAAATTCATCGAAGATACAGAAACGAACCTTGCTATTTAAACAAGTGAGCAGATAATAAGTAGCCAGCTGTTCTAACGTCATTTTTAAGGAACCCAGCAGAAAATAGTGATTTAATTTGCCCAAAGCGAAGGAAGATTAAAAGAGAGTCAGGCTTGAATAATCTGTTTGCAACCAGAGTTAATTTAGGATACTTTAATGTGGCTGCTTATATTCTTGAAAAACATGAATTCGTCGCACCCTAATGAAGCTATTTCTGTTATGTATTGATGTCCATCATCTAGGAGATGTTAAACAGAGTTTTCATACCTGTATACTTTTCATCAGTTGTCTGTCTTCAAACGATCATTTTGTCAGACCAGGTTAGTTGTAGACTAGCTTCCAGAGTGGGTTTGCCAGCTTCAGCTTGGTCTTTACTATTGAACTATGTGTAGCTTTTATTTGTTTCAGTCTTAGTCTTTTATATATGTAATATGATGGGTATTTGTAACTAGCTCTGATAAGACCAACACAACACTGATGAATCATCTAAACATCACAGTCTTAAAAACAAACAAACACTTGCGCTGAAGCCGCCTCATGTTTCTTCAGAATTGACTAAATTAGGAAAAAAAATAACCTTGACATTTCCTGTGTGCACTTATTTTCTTTTATCTCCTTTTATAGATACTCATGACTGGTTTGAAATTAAGGTTTCATTTCTTATTTTATATCCCAGTTACCTAACATGTTTCTTTTTCACATCTAGTTTTAGTTAACTATAATAATCATGATGTTCAGCCTACAAAACCTTAGAATCAATAGGTGCAGTCACGTAATTTAACTCACTTCCTTAAACATGTGGAAGTACTCAGCACTTCCTTTTTCTGTTTACCGTCCACAGTGCGGACAGCCATTGGGCTGTTTCAGGTAGCTGTTTGTATACAGCCCATCACATGATTTACAGTAATGTGAGATGATGAGCTTCAGATAAGTCACTGTGTCTCTGACTGGTGAGGTGATCGTTTGGTTTTTTCCTACTCCAGCTGTCTGGATTGACATGTTGGATGCGGGATTGTTTGAATGACAGAAGCCCCATCTGGTGGGTGGACATTACTGGTGCAGTTGTATTTTTTTTAGGGATTATCATCTTACTGTTTAGAAACAAAAGAAAACGGCGACACAGGAAAGAGTTCCAGCTTGTTTTACTGTTCTGCTACCTTAACATCTAAAGCTCGGTTACAGATCGTGATTATTTTACATACATTCTCTCAGCTGTCTGCAAAGTCTTATGTTAAACATGTTTAACTTTAAGTGGTATGTTGTCGTTCACTTTAAAATCTTGATCTTAAAATGAAGATTTCTTTTTGGTGGTAGACATACTTCTTTGACAATGATTGGATTCTGTTTTGAGTTTATCTGCGTTGCTGTGAAAGTATATTTCTATCGTTGCAGTGTGCTCTAACATAGATAATTAAGCTCTGTTATACCGAACAGGTTGTAAAAGACAGCATATGGTATCCACAGGATATATCTAAGTCACTGGTCCTGAGATTAAACGAAAAAACATTAACAAATGAGCTAAGCGCTCTAGTCTGATTATATGGGTGAAAATGTGCACAATTACTGATGTTTTTGTAGAAAAGATTTTTGAACAATGAGTTGAAGCACTGGTTTAAGTCAGAATTTTGTACTTCTGCCACTGCAGGTGTGATGGAGGGGTGACGTGTGAATCAGAGGAGTGATTAGGCCAAAGCAGCCATGACCGAGTGCTTCCTGCCCCCCAGTAGCAGCCCCGCAGAGCAGCGCAGGGCAGAGCACCCCGGGGGCGTGGCCCGCACCCCGAGCTCTGAGGAAATCAGCCCCACCAAATTCCCCGGGCTGTACCGCACCGGGGAACCATCGCCGCCTCACGATGGACATCACCACGAGCCTCCCGACGCCTACGTCTCCGACGATGACAAAGAGCACAGCAAGAAGAAGAACAAGTTCAAGAAGAAGGAGAAAAGGAGTAAGATGCTTTTTTGGGAAACATGGATTGAGGGAGGGAAGGACAG